TGGTGTTGTGAGGGTGTGTGTGTGTGTGTGTGTGAGTGTGAGTGTGAGTGTGAGTGTGTGTGTGAGTGTGTGTGAGTGTGAGTGTGAGTGTGAGTGTGTGTGTGTGTGTGTCACTTGAGAGTTACTGGATGAAGGACAGGATATAAATAAACCAATAAATAAACCTCTCTTACATGTCAATCTTTAACTGGAGACATTTTCTAACTATATATGTCAAACATTTAAAGCTCATTCAGCCAGTTGTCTCCCTCTGATTAAATGTATCACACTTAAGTCACACTGACAGGAATCAATGTTGATTTAAAAACCCTAAAATTCAAACAGCATCAAAGTCAAATCAGACAACAAGAAGGCAGCAAACATGACAAAATCAAATTAAGGTTACAATTTAGATGATCTGCCAAATATTTTTAAACTAGTAGTTTAAACAGTGGCTATTAATTGATATGACCAAATCAATTTTGGTTTCTTTTATGTGCCATCACCATTACAGGCGGCAGTCCGTGTCCAGTGTGGGGCAGAGGCAGTAAAATCACTCACCCATCCCTGCCATATTTCACTTTATCGGGGTGCGTGTCTCACTTGAAATCCTCTAGAAGGTTAATTTCAGCTGACATGAACACTGCGCCACCAAACACAAAGCGAGCAGACATCTTGTGCTGGAGCATTGACTTCTTTTCTCACTGTAAACAGCACTCATTCTGCAGCTCTATGTCAATGGCAACTGCAAGGGTTTGTTCACCGTCTGTTGCTTAGATGCGTGACTGTTTCCTAGCAACAGCTCATATAAACTCTGTCAGGATGTTATACCCTCATCAAGCTAGAAATCATAACATTTATTTTATAATTAACATGCTGCCATAAGTAGGATTCACAAATACTTCACCACCAGTATGTACTCTATTTCTCACTTCAAGTCAAATGCATGTTTTATTAAACATTTTGTGTACAAGTAGGTATGCATCTCGGTCTACATATAGGGAAAAATACATCCGATAAAATCGTGTGGTATTATTTACACTCTGAGACTCATATTTTATTACTCTGTCTTTCATTAGCATTAAAACACTTGAAGTTAATAGTTTTTTAATGTTGACAAACACTGTGATGCTTCAGTAACAAATACTGGCACAATCACTGTCCCACAGGACCCATTATGGTTCAAACGGTCAAAATAAGCTCTCATGATTGGCATTTAATCATCTTCATCCTCATCATCATCCTCCTCCCCCTCTGTCATCTCAATGGGATTCACTGCAACCAAAAAAAAAAAGGCAGAAATTAATTTTAGCAATAGCATGGTTGAGCACCATTTAGAATTTAAATACAGAATTTGTATTTGTTCTTTAAATATTAAAATACTAATGTTTACATACATGGGAATCATGGATGGTTTTGGGAAATTACAATATCCAAGTCAACAATTTTTAATGTCAATATTTCTAAAATTATCTGACAGTGTCGAGGTGGATATTTAGCAAACTGAAAATCAACATTGGTGGCCGTTTTATTTGTTTTCATAGTATTAAAGAAATGTATACAATCAAATGAAAAAAAAAATATATATATATATATATATATAAACACTTGTGTTGGACTAGTGAAGCTCCTTGGCTGTGTAACCATGTTGAAATTTCTGAATTGCAGTTCATAAATCCTCCTGTCGTTGCAATTCAAATTTCCCGTCAGCACCCTGAATGTTCACACTTGTGAATTTGCAAGGAGCTAAAATAGTGCACAACACAAAATAAGCATTCCAATGCAAGCTCTTACATGTTATATGCTGAGCAGAGATGAACACAGGTCCTTTACCCGAGCACAGTTTAAAGGTGACAGGGGGAATAAGCTCCAAACTGGGAAAACTGATCTGCAACATATGACAAAATATCTAGTCTTATATATGATGCAGTTTCTGAAAACTTTCAATCAAACTATCAGCCACAATAATTCACCATTGGCATACAGTGGCGGAGGGTGGCAATGGGCAACGGTTTGGAAGCTCCGACACCGTCACAGACGGCCACTATATGCATCTCGTCTCCTGCCTCCTCACTAAGACATATCTGTGAAAATAGAAATCAGGCCATTTTACTGTACTGACAAACTGGTTGAAGACTATGGATGTGGGTTTAGGTTATCAGGCTCACTCATACACTTTTTTAATAGATCATTCAAAAAATGTAATCATTTAAAAAAAAAAAATAAAAAAAAAAGTCACCTTCATGAACCAAAACGTAAATGACCCATAACCACAAAAGGTGAACTTCACAAATATCCTGTCTCTCTCTATAATGAGAGAGAATGTATACTACAAAATGATAAAACGCATTGACTCTGATGCATTACAGTTTTTAATCACTTCCGCACATTATTTCAAGCCTTGAATAAATGACTGAATGACAAACATGGCTGCCTTTGCATGTTGATGAGCAATGTTCGATTCATGAATGAAAAGAATTGACTGACAAGATTGATTCAATGAATCGAATGATACAATGATTCCTTCACAAATCCAGTACTCCATTTCTAAAAATTAAATCAACGATGCAGTCACAAATATTAACAGCTACTGGAGAGATAGCTAAATAATAAATCATCATACAAGTTTTATAAATGACTGTAAAGTAGCTCCAGGCCCTGACACATTACAGTTTTTTTTAAATCGCTTAGGCAAATTATTTCAAGATTTTTGCCCACGATAAAAATAATATACAACTAAAAAAAAAAAAATAGATAAGGTGAATAAATCCAATCAAATAAGACTAACATGGCTTGCTTTGCATGTTGATGAGCAATGCTCGATTCATGAATGAAAAGAATTGACTCAATGAATCGGATGAAGCGATGCTTCGTTCACAAATCCCGTACTCAAGTTCAAATCATTAAATTAATGGTCCACTAACAACGATTAACAGCTAGCTGGAAGGAAAGCTGAATAACATAAGCCACGGAGAAGAAAAAAAAAAGTCATACGAGTTTGTAACAGCAGGAAGGTGAGTAAATATTAACAGTTTATGTTGGGATGGACTATGAAGGCCCAAATCTAGGTTACCGTTTTGATGAAAAACTGGTTCTCCAGAAGGTCATTTTCTGCTTGAAAGACAGCTGTGGTCTCAGAGCCACTGAGCACACAACCTTTCAGGAAAGAAAGAGCAAGTAAAAGCGACTACAACAATTCAGGCAATTGCAAAGGCTCGTTGTACAGGACAGAAATGATCTTACCCCAGTGAACACATGCTCTATCAGACACCGATGATGAGCTGGATAATTCAGACAGACTGATTGAAGCTACAGAGTCATTTTCGATAAAACAGCTTGTCATTTCAGTCAGCATGAACTCTGTTGAGGTGAAACGGTGTGAGAAGAGAATCTTTCTGCAACTTTTCTTCACAAACCAGTCAGCTCGGCCCCACTCATAAATGTTTGTTTACAAAGGGGCGCTTAATATTCCTTTGCCTGATAAAATAATCAGCACTGTGCAGGCAAGATCAGTATATCAGCCACCTGCAGCAAGGATTGAACAGTAATATAAACTGTGCCATTCACATGGACGCACACCTGTAAACAGGGCCGCATTAAGACCGCACTGGGCCCCGGGGCTATGACTTACAGAGGAAAAACACTGCACGCAGAAGCTGATGAATTGGATCGGTTGATGATGAACTTCAGGTGTTTTTCCTGAGCGCGTGACGCGCTTCATCAGACACTAGAGGGCGCTCCAGGACTTCTGATCAGGTTTGTTGCCTGAGGAAAGTTCATTCTACAGCATTTTTTTTAAATACTTAATTTTTAAAATAACTTTATTAAATTAGCGTTTATTTTTTTTTAATACTTCATTTTTAAATAACTGTGTTAAATTATTACTTTTTTGTTATATGCGGGTCTATTTATTTATTTATTTATTGTCGAGATGTATTTATTTCATGAAGAAGTCTGACCTTTTATCATTTTGGTATTTAATGGATTAATTAATGGGGTGGCAGGTATGTGCTTTATGTTTATACACTTTTTGTTTTCAAATTATTCTCTCATTTACAAAAAAAATTAAAATATTTTGCCTGAAGCTTTAACATTTAGCTTAAAACAGCATGCCATAACATGTGTCAGTTTTAATCAAGTATATGCATAT